CAATTAGAATTCTAATTGCAGCTGAATCTGTTAAGTTCAGATTTTTGCTGTCGAGGGACTTGCAGTTTTTACAATAAATTCTCTAAATTAAGTTTACTTAGTTGACATTCAAAAATCTGAAAGCAAATCTAATACCACAATACGATTACCTCTGAATTTTATTCCTCTTTCTGAGAGGCTTCTAAGGCAAGCATGCCAAGACACAGACTTACCTCTTAATTTTGGACCAGTTCTGTTTCAAGTTTTAACCTATTAGCTCTGGTGTAAACCAAACTTTGGCACTAACTCTACTGGAGAAAAGGGAACACTTAAAACTGACCCCTCCTCACTCCAATTTTCTCTGTTTGTACCAGTTTGTTTTCACTCGAAAGTCAAAAGTCACTAATAATGTTTTCAGTATGAATTCAATAGTTAATATGATATCTAGCATTTGCAAACTTGTGTGCTTCAATATTCTTGACATGTGAGTATTGCATTACTTTAACGAACAATTTAAAACAATGCTCCTGGCCACCTGTTCCCTCTATTACCACTAGGTAATAAAGGAATTCCTTTCAGATGATACTAATTTTAAGGATGAATTTCCTACATTTAAAAATACGAAACACAAAGATAAAACATGTCACTTCGTAAAAACAAACATTGAAGAATACTTATATATAAAATTATATATAATTTTATATTTCATATAAAATTATATATAATTTTATATTTCATATAAAATTATGAAAGACTGAAGACTTAAAATTGTGGCAATACCATGTTTTTATCCTGACCATAAGCAATTTCTCCAAAGAAAGAAAAGTGCTGTGAAATTTTAGAAGAGTGAAGAAAAAGCTACATAAACATACTAGTACAGCTGGCTCTTGGGCTAACGCGAAGAGGGGGGCACGTTTTTTACTGCTATGATAGGACTGTGGATTTCCTAATGGGCAAGTGATGTAATACTGGAGAGCCGCCTAAGGGAAAGGAATAGGTTGACAAAGGGGGTGCAGATGCCAGAGAGATGAGCCTGGGGCGGCAGGGAAGAGGTGGGTCACTAGCGAGCGCAGGGGTGTATCCCAGGATGATTTCGGCGCGTGGGGAAGCAGCCAGACAGGCTAGGGTACGAGGGTGAGGGGAGGGCAGCGCAGGGATGGCAGCTCCCGGGGAAACGGTGTGACATCTGGCGTGCGGAACCGGCAGGGGGCAGAGCAGGCAGGATGTCACGTGGAGCTGGCGCTACGGGAGCCGAGAGGGCTGCGTGCGGACAGAGGGGGGTCTTCCCCACCGCCTGAACGACTGTTACTCACAGGAGTCGCGGACTCTTCTTGCCCTGAACTGGAGACGGGGACTTCGCGGCCTGAGGCTGCTGCCCGGGCACGTCGGGAGGCCTGGCGCTGGGGCTGCTCCTCCGCCGGCGGGGATACTCGGCCTTCCTCCGGCGGGACACAGCGGCAGCGGCGGCGGCGGCGGCGGCCGCAGCGGCCCGGCCTCGGTCCCGACCTCCCCTCAGCACACGGCTGCTAGTGGTCCCTGCAGGCGCCGCCGCGGCAGCCTCAGGGGGCCGTTGCTGGGGCTCCTCCGGAGCCTCCTTGGCCGCCGCCGCCTCTCCCCCTTCCTGGTCCTGCTGCTCCGGGGGTCTCGGCTCTTCCGTCTCCCCCGGCATCGGGGCTTGTCCGTCCCCCACCCCCTAGTCCCAGGCGGCGGAGGGGGAGGCGGCGGCCTCCGCGCTGCTCCCCCGCCCCCTCGCCTCCCGAAGCCTCCGGCTCACTCTCACCCTGCGCTCCTCTTTTCCCCCCTCCCCTCCGCCAGGCTCGGAGGGCGCCCCCCCCCGCCCCCTGCCACTCAAGGTCTGCTACCGCTGGCGGCGCGCGCGCGCCCGCTACTGACGTTCAGAGAGCCAATCGGAGAAGAAGACAGACTTCTTCACCCCGCCCCTCGCGGTCTTACACGCAGCGACGTTTCAGGTTCCCTCCCCCACCCCTTCCTAGAGCCAATCAGGAAACGGCTACAAGGGAGCGCGCGAGGTTTCCTTCCCCGCGCACCCGTTCTCACCGTTAAACGGCGCTATCTCGCGACAATCCCAAAGTGACCTTTTTCCCCCCTCCGGAGTTCAATGCGCGCTAGGGGCAGTGCGAGGGATAGATCTCGCGAGGGAGGCGGGTGAGAAGAAATCGCACCTCTTTCCCCGCCTCATGCACACCCTAGGCTGGCTGCGCGCGCACCTGCCTCCCTAAGGGCTCTTTCTGTCCTTCTATAGGCCGCAGAAGTAGCCTGGGCGTTATTCCGCCTCCACCCTACCCCAGTTTCGTGTCTCTGGCCTTTCTGTCCCCAGCGCTGCCAGATCTTGCGGAGTGAAGGGGGTAATATTTTGAGCTGTCGCTTCTCCTTTAAGAAAAAAAGCCCCGTCGGTTGCCGAATGAAAGTCTCTGAAAAAAATGGCGGCGGTAGAACGAAGGCGGGGTTGTGGGGGCAACGAGGGCCCTCCTCCTGGCGCATGCGCATCGTTAACTTAACCAAGGGCATTGTGGGAGATGAAGTCCTATTTCTCCTAGGCTTTAGGAAAAGATGGGAAACCAGAGGTGGAGAGGATGCTGGGAAGTTCTGACTGATTCACGCCGGGAAAGGTAGTTTACTTTCCGCAGTCTGAATTTATTTATTTATTTATTTTTAAAGGAGGCAGTGTTTCCGGGTTAGGTCGCGACGTCTGCTCTACATCCGGGCTCAAGTGTTGAGTCAATTGCTAGCCTGATGGGAGGGATTTTTCTACTTTTTCTTACTTTTTATCTAGGCGTTGGCGTAGCTTTCTCCGGGTGGCTGCCTAATTGCTCAGACTTAACGTTGGTTTGGTCAGATGACACCTCCTCTGGGACTGGCTAGCTAGCGTTCATGTCTACAGTATTGATCTCGTCCTGTGTATGAGTCACCTGTGAACTCCTGGAGGTCAGGGTCTGAATATAGTTCCCTGGGGTCCTTGGGGCCCTAGCAGAAGGCTCACTACTCAGTTGACTCTTAATAAAATGTTCGAAACTAATTGTAAAGTTGCTTTTCTATGAGACCTTGTTCGGGCACCTAGGAGCTGGCTTAACTTGGTTGCGGTGCCCGACCTGGAGGGAGGCAGAAAGGGTTGTTACCACGACGTGACTCTGGTGACCTACACGGATAAGTTGAAGGTCTCTTAAGCTCTGCGGCCGGAAGCCATCTGTTTATACAATAGCAACTTTATCAGAAGTTACTTTTCTGCCAACTAGCGTGTGTCGTTAATTTATCTTCCTGATTCATCAAAGGGTGTTTCCGTTGCAGTTGGTGATGCAGTGGGCCTCTCCCATTTCTTTCTTCCTTTCATCCATTACAATCAGGGAACGATTCGCAAGAACACCCTTTACCCCTGGAAAATAAAGCATCCGGGCTAAAATCCCCAGAAGAAAGAAGATGGAAACAGGATCTGGGGATCCAATTCTAAATTTCATATTAATCATTCAGCTAAACTGGACAAGTGCTGAAATACATTTTTCCTTCCAGTATTTTGACTCAGATGCCACTTCATATTGGACAAATGTTTTATATTCTCTGCTGAGTATTTTCCCCTTTCGTATGACTAATGTCATTTTCATTTGTAATAATTGTTTGGCATAATGTCAATGGAAATTTTTTCAGATTGAGTTTGCAGCGAGCAGACTTTTGGAAGGAACAGTACTGACATCCAATGGATGCCCAAAGTAATACAGAGGAGAAATCCCCTTTAAAAAAAAAAGTACGGACAGTGGAATGGAGAATGAATTATTAAAAAAAAAAAAAAAAAAAGCCACAGTGGGCTGGATGTGGTAGCTCACTCCCAAAACTCGAGCGCTTTGGGATGCCAAAGTGGGAGGATCCCTTGAGCCCAGAGCTTCCAGACCAGCTTGGGCAACATAGGGAGACCGCCCTCTCTAAAACAAAACAAAACAAAAATTTTTTTTTAATTTGAAAATAAAGTTTCTAAGCTAACCTAGTGGCGTGATGGCATGCACGTGCCATCCTAGCTACTCCAGAAGCTGAATAGGGTAGATCGCTTGTGTCCAGGAGTTTTAGTTGGAGGTTATACTGAGCTATGAATGATAGCACCATTCCACGCCAGCCTGGGTGACAGAGAGAGAGAGAGCTTGTTTCTAAAAAAAAAATAATAAAAAATAAAACACCGTGTTTTAGAGGAGAGATCGCAGACTTTGAAATCTGTGATTATGGTAGCAAAAGCTACCAATTATCTTAGCAAGTTACTATTGCATGAACGTATTTCACTATTGGTAAAAAAGGGGATAAAATCTATTTAACAGGGCCGTAATTATAGTTCGTTTTTATAGTAGGCCTTTGGTAAATGTGTCATTCAAGGTGAATAAAATCACTGTGGTAAAAATGGTGAACGGTTAACCTCAGCGTCACTTTCCAGAGAAATTGCCATAAGGCAATGTAGCTAGGCAGGGGTTATGCTTAATTGAGATGTACACAGTTTAACATTTGGTATCAAACCTGGCTTCCTTCTTTGTGACCCCTCTATAGATGTTTGCATTTTGAACTGTCGAGTAAGCCAGGCCCCGAGAATCCAAGCATGAATCCACTTCTGCCTTACTTTTAAGGATTTACAATCCGTGCCAGAAAGCTGATAAGCATAATTTCTGAATAAGTACATGAAGACAACAAAATGGAATGGATACCTGATGGAATCCATTCCGATGGAAATTTTAAGAAGGAGACTATGCCTCTATGGTCCCCCAGCTTCACAGAAAAAAAAAAAAAAAAAGGTAGATGCTCAGTTAGAGTGGGGTACCTACACTTGAAAAAGAGACAAGTATGAATCTGCTATTCCCATGACTCCAAGATGAATCCTGGCACAGAGTAGGTGCTCAAATTTTACAAAATTAATTTAAAATCTCCGTCACCCTGGCCAATGCACTACCGTAGCTCAAATCTTACTATCTACCTTTCTATGTCAGTCCAATTTTTAAAACTGTGTAACCTATGAAAAAAAAAATCACCAAATCAAAAGAGAGGAAGTGCTAAGCAAATACAGGAAATACAGGAACCAAAAAGGGTTATAGAGGCTGCCTTATGCTGTCTCATCCAGTTCCTTTGTGGTCCTCTTCTTCAGCACATGCCAAAGCTGTTCCTCATAGCCTGTGAGACAAGAGCATCTTGGATGTAGGACAATGGAAGAGTTAGGTAAGCGAGGGGCTTCTTGGAGCAGAAACTCTGAGGGAGTGAAGACTTGGCTGCCATCTACGTGTGTATACTTCTGGGTAGACCGAGGGTAGTAATGGTAGATTTTATTTTCACTTCTGTCCTCAGCCCTGCCAAGAGAGAAGCATGAGGAACTATGATTGTTTTGGGGAACTGTGGGTTCACTGTTTGCAGTGGCAAAACAGAGGGAGAGTTTGGTGCTAACTGCAGAGTAAACTCTTGGCAAATACTTTTGGACTGGATTGTGATTGAAACCGTCGTTTTATTATGAGCATTTTGCCCCATGAAGGTCACTGGAGATCATAGGGTGGCCAAATAGCAAGGCAATGCAGAGCCGTGATTTGAGGAAGAAAAGAAAGATCAAAAAAGGAGTTGGGGAACTATGAGGAAGAAAAAATGGACTCGAAGTATAAGAATGAGGGATACGTAGAGGTTGGAAAAAGGCCAGAGTGGTTTCATTTGTTTCATGTTTTCGTCTTAAATCAAGAAGGCATAGCACTCTAACTCAAGTGATTTTGTTGCTAAGCTTTTTATTCGGAAGAATTCTAAAGGAAGAGATTACTGTGGCCTGAAAATATGATACCTCCTTCCACTCCAAGGCAATTAAAACCAGCAGTGGAACTCTTAGCCACATTATCCATCCAGAGAGATCCTGGATTTCAAACCTTTGGAGTAGCATAACATATGTCATTCTTGGGACTCATTCCATAGCCTTTGCCAACATCTGTTGCCAGCATCTTAACTAACACTGAGTCACTAAACTTTACCCAATCTCCAAGCTGTATTAATTCCACAGTGTCCTGATTTGGGGTGTGTTTGGGATGGGGTATGTCAAAAGTGCAAAAAACAACAAAAAATATCTTGCTTATTGTTACATTGTCTTAAGAAAAATTGACATGTGATTTCAAAGTTGGAGAAACAGAGGAAAAGTAAACGGCAAATTACCAGGAGGGAAGAGACGTTAATGAAGAGGAAAAGGTAGCGTTTAGTAAATACCAAACTGCTTTGGAGGTTAAGTCTGTCTTGATACTGGCCTAGACTCTGTTTTGGACTTGGGGTAGAATCCAAATTCTTATCCTCCCTGAGTGAAGAATGTGAATTTCTCCTTGAGTTCCAGTAGGGCTAGGGCCTTTTTTCTTTTTCCTTTTTTTAGTTCTTTTTTTTGGGGGGGAGGAGTGGGGGACACCTAATGGCTTTCATGGCAAATAATGTAAAAGGAAACTAATATTTAGTGACTCAAGCAAAAACTAGACATTTTTACATATGTTGGTAATTTTAGTGTCTGCAGCAACCCTCTGAAATAGGTATTTCAGAGGTATATCCACTTCTTTTCAAGATGAGAAAACTAAGAAAAACAAAATAACTTGTTAATGTCACTGCCGGGAACACCTGACACCAAAACTAAGCAAAAAGGTGGTCTCCTGTTTTAGAATGTTGTTAATTCTGGTGTTGTGGCCAACAAAGTAACCCAGATTTGACCGACATGTATATTATTTTGCATTTCCTGAGCAGGCTAGATGTTAGGTAAATCTTGTCCGGAAATACAGAAAGTACCAAGCAAATAGCCTGGAAGCTAACACTTGTGCAGATTATCCAGTTGGCCACATCTCCACAGGCTAGTGATGGCTGCACTTCAACAGTTTCTTCAAATTGTCAGCTGCCCAGTAACTACCCTTGACACTTGGGGTGGCCCTTTCTTCCTGCTGGCAGAGAAATGGCATCTAGGACAGGTTGGCTCAAGTGAGCAAATATTTCCAGTCTGCAGTAGTGCCTCAGAGGCTAGCAGCTTGTAAATCAGAAGGTTTTACCTAAGCCCGTATTACATAGGCATTAGGTATAATCGTTAAGAGGAACCAGGAGCAGACTCTGACTCGAAATGAAATCCATACAACCCATAGAGACCAAGACCTCACTTTACTCATTTCATGATAATATTGGTATTATTTCATCTCCATAGGTAAAGGACCACAGAGAATAATTATAGAGTCTTCAGTCTAGTACCCTCTCCTCCCACCCACTCTCTCCAGGAATCCTGTATTTGTCATACTGAAATGAGTCATCTTCAAATTACAAAATCTGGCAAAAGGCATGATAACCTCAGACTGTTGATGCACACTCATAAGAAACAGGAAGAAAAAAGCCTACAACTCATAACCCAGAAAGAAGTGTTTTGATAACTTTGGTTAGCTGGTGCTTCTGAGGGCAACTTCCTACTCTTAGTGGTCTGATTTCCTCTCTCTTATAACCTTTAATGTAAATGGCTTTTTATTTAGAGCTCACGAGGATCTTTGGCTTCTAGTTAGAGCAAAGCTTAGAAAATAGAAAATCAAGGGACTCTAGCTTAATTTAGAGATGCAGAGTAAAAATTCAAAATTCTCAAATTTGGAGTAAAAATTTGAGGCAAAATGTTTTCTTTCTATCTTAGTTTTCTTTTTATTTTCTTTGTCCTTATTTTTAAAAACCTTCTATTATAAAAAAATTTAAGTATGCAAAAGTAGAGAAAGTAGCTTAATGAATTATAATATACGCATCAACCAGTTTAAACAATCAATTCTTCACCAGTCTTATTTCATATATATGCCCACCCATTCCTTTCACTTCTGTAATTATGTTAAAGCAATTTCAGATGTTATTTTATCTGTAAATATTTTAGCACTAATCTCTAAAATAAAAATATGTTTATACATATAACTGTAATGCCATTGCCATACACACAACAGCCTTAATAGTAATTCCTTAATATTGGAAAATACCATTATCACACCTAAAAATTTAACAGAATTACTTAATATTATCAAATATCATTATCACAACTAAAATAAACAGTACTTGCTTGATATTATTTAATATCCAGTCAGTGTTCAGTAGTCTTGATTGTTTTATTTTTAAAGTAGATTTAGTGATCCAAAAATGTTCATACATTGAAATTAATTATAAGTCTCTTGACTTTTTAAAGATACAGGTTACACCTCATCTATTTTTTCCCATTACAGTTATTTGTTTGCCCTAAAGTTTAGTTCAGTTAGATTATCTCTGAAATGGTCCATAAAAGCCAACGTTTTTGAGAAATGGATGATTATGAAAGATCTGTGGATGTCATTTGTAAAAAAAAAAAAAAAAAAAAAAAAAAGGATTAGAACTTTTCTAATGCCATTAAGAATAATTCATGCCTCCAAAATCTAAAATAAATGAAAATCTGCTTTTTTTTGAAACTGTGAAGTTTCTTTTCCTTATCTGAGAACTTCAGAGGTAGGCAGGTCCTTAGAAATAATATAATTCTGTGTCTAAAGTTTGAAAACTCTAACCTGTAGTAAGAAATCTGCTAGAGATCCACTAATGGGTATTGAGCTATAATTTGAAAAACACTGTTCTCATCCACTTGCCTCATTATGTAGATGAGGAAACTGCTTCAGAAAAGGACAGGATATGCTCAAGATAACCCAGAGAATCCATGTCAGACAGGAGACTGGAACTTCTAAACTCAATTAGTGCAGGCGCTAGGGATCAGATAGCCCAAATTCAAGTCCCGGTTCTCCACTCATGAACTTAAATTATTTTTGTCTCTTTCTTGACCTACAAAATAAGGACAGTAATATCACCTGCCTCAAAGTGATAGGATGATTAAATGAAATGTGTAAATTCCTGAGCACAGTGCCTGGCATGTGTTAATTTTTTACTAATTATTATTTATTTCATTATAACAGACAGGTACTAGTGTAACACTTTTCCAAACAAACAAACACACAAACAAACAAGCAAACGCAAAACTATAAGAGTAACAAACCCCAACTATTTGAATTGCAACATGTTACTTGATTTTGCAATATCTCAGTTTTCTCCCCAACCCTTTTTTCTCTCCACACTCTAAAAGACAGAATACTTATACCTTGCTTTGAGAATTTTGTCATGTTCTCAGGATAATTGTTAAGATTAAAAAAAAAAATTATTAGGATTAAGCATAAGTGTTATTTCCCTGGTATATTTTGAAAAATGGTAATATAGTTGCTTATATTTTCTGATAGAACAAAGCATTTAGTATTTCTTTCTTTCTTGTTTTTTTTTTTTATTATTTTTTTTTTCTTTTTTGGAGACAGGGTATCACTCCTGTGGCCTAGGCTGCTGGAATGCAGTGGTGTGATCTTGGCTCATTGCAGGCTGACCTAGGCTCACGTGATCCTCCCACCTCAGCCTCCCGAGTAGCTGGAACCACAGGCATGAGTCACCACTCTGGGCTTATTTTTTTGTATTTTTAGGACAGACTGGGTTTTGCTATGTTGCCCTGGTCTAAAACTCCTAGGTTCAAGGGATCTTCCCTACTCGGCCTCCCAAAGTGCTGGGATCACAGGCATGAGCCACTACACCTAGCCCAGATTAATTTTTTTCTAATTAGGGATATTTGTGGGCAATCGACCCCAAATGTATGATGAAAATTAGTACTTGTGGTATAAAACATCAAATTATAGAGTAAGACTATGAAATTGAATGCGACCATAGAAAATAAGAAACGAGCCACACATTTATGGAGGCATTAAACATTTCTTCGTAAAATTCACCACATTATTGAAGTGAAATAAGGAATATTTGAAAATAGCCATAACTGAAGAAAAGAAGGAGATGAATGTGGGCACAGTGAAGATATTTAAGGAGAAAATGATTCTAGAGACTTAAATATTCTCTATCATGATTATCTTGTTTCTTATGATGTAGATGCCTTATTAGAGGAACTGGAACGCTCTACCCTTCAGGACAGTGATGAATATTCCAACCCAGCTTCTCTTCCCCCTGATCAGCATTCCAGAAAGGAGAGTAACCTTTGCGAGACTTCAGAGATCCTTTCTGTTCAGGATAATACAAGTCCCTTGCCGGTAACTTTTCATTTATTATAGTCCTTAAACATGGTTGTTTGAGTGCATTTCTCAAAATTAAGTGTATCCCACATAAAATGATATGAAAGAATCATATATCCAAGAAACAGAAAAATAACGCCTCAGTGTTAATCTAAAGATGTTTTTGGAAAGAGGAAGAGAATTGAGAAAATCATCACAGAGGAATGAGCTTTTGAGACCTAAATTTTTTCTAATGAGTGCATGGTCACAGACAGTTTCGTCAGATTCAGTTGGGATATTCTGATGTTACTGTTTGGGCATCAGAGATACATGCTGCAGTTTGACTGGAATGGTACTTAAGCCAGAGATCACCTGAGGAAGGCTGGGTGGCAGCTTAGACAAGTCTTCTCAGGGTGACTTTTTAGGCTCACCACTTCCTATGTCTTATTTTCTGCTGAATAGATTTGGAAATTCAAGTGTTAGTTTACACAGAGATTATGACACTTTAGGGAACCAATTCAAACTAAACAAACTGACAAGTGATAATATATATTTTTAAAAACCCAGGGCAAGTGCAGTAGCTCAGGCCTGTAATTTCAGCACTTTGGAAGGCTGAGGCAGGAGGATCACTTGAGGCCAGGAGTTTGAGACCAGCCTGGGTCACATGATGAGACACCCATCTCTACGAAAAATTTAAAAATTAGTGGGGTGTGGTAGTGCGTGCCTGTGGTCCCTGCCACGAAGCAGGAAGATCACTTGAGCCCAGGAGGTTGAGGCCGTAGTGAGCTATGATTGTGCCACTCCACCCCAGCCTGGGTGACAGAATGAGAACTCATCTCAAAAAACAAAAAACAAAACCCAGAAATCAAATTTATTAATTTATGGTTACAGTTAAAGCTGTCAAGTAAAACAGCTGTTAGTATTTACTCATATATGCATTCTCTTTCTATGGATAGGTCCACATGGACGTACATTATAATTAAAAGGTTACTTGATGAGAATGGAATTAGTGTAGGATGAATTGAGTAGATCGTCTTCATAACTGTTAATTTTGTACTATGATATTTTGATTCATCATTGTATACTATACGAAATAACCAGAAGCACAGACCTGAAATTTGAGCTCAGGGGTAGTTTACCCGCTAACTGTTCTTTCCTCCAGATACATACAGTTTTAAGGATATGAATTTCTCTCTCTACTAGGGAAATATTGTCTTTGTTCTCAGTCTTATATAACTGTAGGCTCCTAAGTAGTCTCCTGCCCTTTTCCCCACTGCAGTCTATTCTCAAGCAGCCAGGGTCACCTTTAAAAACTAAAGTCAGACCCTGTTATTCTTTTACTCAAAACCCCACAATGATGCCCCATCTTATTTGGAATAAAAGTGTTGATCTTTCTGTAGTGACTGTATATCCTGGTTTATCTGAAAGAGTCCTGGGTTTGTATCTTACTAACTTTAACCTTTTACCCCAGATTTTCAATTTTATTTGAAGTTTTCTTACCAGTATTTGCATTAGAGTAAGACAGTATGGCTTAACAGACCTCCCTCCAGCTTCTTCTATGGACTCATCAGTGTACAAAACATATATTCCATGAAAAGAGTTTTTTTGTTTTTTTTTTTTTTTCTTTTGAGATGGAGTCTCTTTCTGCCACCCAGGATGGAGTGCAGTGGCATGATCTCAGCTCACTGCAACTTCTGCCTCCCAGGTTCAAATGATTCTCCTGACTCAGCCTCCCGAGTATCTGGGACTACAGGGGTACGTCGCCATGCCTAGCTAATTTTTGTATTTTTAGTAGAGACAGGGTTTCACCGTGTTGACTAGGCTGGTCTTGAACTCTTGACCTGGTAGTTTGTCTGCCTCAGCCTCCCAAAGTGCTAGGATTACAGACATGAGCCACTGCCCCCAGCCAAGTTCTGACTTTATTATGGCTAAATGCAAACAATGGCTAATGATAACTTGTCTTTTTTCTTGATTCCATGCAGACGAAACCTAGCTAGCAGCAACTTTTCAAGAATTATATGAAGGGTGCTGGCTGTTAAAGCAAAGGTTCAAGCACAAGTAGTCAAAGATAGCTAACTCTTCTTTTTTTAAAAATTTATTTATTTTACTTTAGGTGCATACTATATCAGGCATTTCTCCTCATGTTATCCCTCCCCACCCCCCATTGTCTCTCCCCTACCCCCTTCAACTGTCCCCTGTGTGTGATACTCCTCTCCCTGAGTCCATGTGTTCTCGTCATTCAACACCCACCCATGAGTGAGAACACATGGTGTTTGGCTTTCTGTTCTTGGGTCAGTTTGCTGAGAATGATGGTTTCCAGATTCATCCAAGTCCCTACAAAGTACACGAACTCATCATTTTTTATGGCTGTGTAGTATTCCATGATTGTATATGTATCACATTTTCTTTGTTCAGTCTATCATTGATGGGCATTTGGGTTGGTTCCAGGACTTTGCTATTGTACACAGGGCTGCAGTGAACATATGTGTGCATGTGTCTTTATAATAGAACGATTTATAGTTCTTCGGGTATATACCCAATAGTGGGATTGCTGGGTCAAATGGAATTTCTATTTCTAGATCCTTGAGAAATCACCACATTGTCTTCCACAATGGTTGAACTAACTCTTCTGATCTTAGGTAGCAGCAGAAAAATTTCTGAGGCTTTTCCCCCTGCTGGCCACTTGGTGAATCACACTCATGCCCTCCCATGATCCATGTGGCGGTGGCCTGTGAGATGCATGGAATCTCCTCAGAGTCAGTAGAAAATGGGAGAAATTGTAGCTTAATGTCATACAAATTATGTTTAGGAAATAGAGGCTAAGCAATTTTGCCATACAGTATAGTGTAGTTTAATTGTTTTATTAAAGCAGTTTTATTATTTGTATGTACGAAGCTCAATTTGTTTTATTATATGATAATGCCTTTTTAATTTTAAGGTGAACCCTTTCAGCAGTTAGCTCAAAACAAAAACGAAACAAAACCCACATGTTTAATTGACTCAAGAAGCCTGATAACGAATATGCAACGTGCAGAAAATATTTGTCAGTATTTGCCATGCACCATGCAGGCAAGTAGAGAGCTCGCTGTCCCTTTTAAAACCAGAAGGTACAAACATGGTAAAGAAGCTTTGGTATCTATTTCCAAAGTTAATAATTTAAGAATAATATGCCTTAAAATGACTTCAACATGCAGCTGCAGGAGGCCTGTGTACGTGTCATTGTGAAGCACACCTTTCTATTAGGATCAAATTACTCATAAGTTAGTTTTGCTCATTTTCAATTCCAAGTTTTCTTGTGCTTGTAAGTAAACTGGTCATAATTAATGAGTGATTTCCCTTCGAAAACCTTCAAATAATGTTTTTTAAGTTAGTTTCATTAAAGGTCTCAATTTGAAAATGTATGAATTCTGAAATGTTTCAATTTTATTTTTTATCTAAATCAAAGGATCCAAATACGATATGTGAAAATTTCCTAGTCAAGAAGTGAAACATCTGACATTGTTAATGCCACTGTAAATTTAGTTGAAAAGCTCAACATTGAAAATAAACTATTGTTTTTGTTGTGAGAATATGAATACAAATGTTAATAGAGCACAGCATTGTGATAAAAATGTTCTTACCAAGTTGACAAGCTATGGAGCAGAAATATACTTGGAATTGGTTGCAATGCACACAGAATTTGTGACTACATCCAAACAAGCTGCAGTATTTTATCAGTCAAAACACAAACTCAAATTTTCAAAATTTATAGATATAAATAAATACATATACACACACAGATTTTATAAGTAATTGATCTACAAAAACAAAATTTTTGTGACAGAAGCTGATATCAAACACTGCCACACAAGGAAACATTTCAGAATGGCTATATATATATATTCCTGTCTGTGTTGCATGTCATCAGTTGGATTTTGGGAATGCTTGAGCCTTTGAAAAACCACTTTGTAAAGCAACCCAAATTTTGATTGCATTATGTTCAAGACCAATTGGAAATTTTTAATTGATATTATTCAATGAATGTAGCATGAAAATTCAGCTTTTGAAGCTTTTACCAAGTTACAGTTATATAAAAGAAGGCTTACAAAAGAAGAAGCTCAAATTTCTCCCTACAAAAGCCAAGGATGACTTGAATAGATCAAAAGATGAAAGCTGATATGGTTGAATTATCTAATTTGATGATTATGCTTCAGAAAAATCTTAACTTTGATGTATTTTGGCTTCTAATTTTAATTGGATCAATTTTTATTCTTCACCAAAATGGAGAGAAATTTTGAAAGTCTATGATTTTGCAATATCTAGATTTGGCGAAATGTTAAAAAAAATCACAGATATAGACAACTTGAAAGTTTTATCTTATAAGAAAATTACTGAAGAAAGATCCTCTGAATGAAGGTAGAAAAACAGCCCCTATGATGATGTTGGCCTGAAATATTTAAGTATTTTAATATAAAAAATGAGAAGATTCTTCATTTAGCAGAACTTACCGCAGGCGTCCCCAAACTTTTTACATAGGGGGCCAGTTCACTGTTTCTCAGACCCTTGGAGGGCCGCCACATACTGTGCTCCTCTCACTGACCACCAATGAAAGAGGTGCCCTTCCTGAAGTGCAGCAGGGGGCGGGATAAATGGCCTCAGGGGGCCGCAGTTTGTGGACGCCTGACTTACAGGTTCATCAGTATTTAGAGAGAAAATGTGTTCTCAGTTAAAAACATTACAGTCTACAGAGATGCATCAACTAAAATTGTCTACAATTTCAGATATATTAACCATAAAATGAAGCTTTGAGAACAATTGCAATTTTATAAAAATAAGAACACTGTTTTTAAAAAAAACAAAAAACAAAAGAAAACATATGTTCCTCCAAAATGTCCACATCTCAATGCTAGAGACAATACTATCTAAATAACAAATTAAGGTATGTGAATACATGTCAAGAGTAATTGCCTGCGCCATTAAAAAATGTTCAGATTATATATATATATATATTTTTTTTTTTTTTTTTTTTTTTTTGAGATGGAATCTCACTCTGTTGCCCAGGCTGGAGTGCAGTGGCATGATCTCGCCTCACTGCAGCCTTCGCCTCCTGGGTTCAAGTGATTCACCTGTCTCAGCCTCCTGAGTAATAGGGACTACTGTCACTCACCACCACGGCCAGCAAATTTTTTTGTAATTTTAGTAGAGACGGGGTTTCACCATGTTGGTCAGACTTGTCTTAAATTCTCCAGACCTCAAACGATCGGCCTGCCTTGGCCTCCCAAAGTTCTGGGATTACAGGTGTGAGCCACTGTGCCTGGCCAATATTTCTTAAAGATGCTTGAATGTTCATAACTTTGTGTCACTTTCAGATATTTTAGGAAATTTTAATTTTGAAAATAAATTTTGAATAGAATTATCTTATAGGTCCACCAATATTATAAGACCAAATTTGGATCAATAAACACATGTTTTAAAAATGATATAATATCACTTATTTTTGGAACAACTTTTCATTCTAAAAAATATCCCAGTCTGAACATTTGGTGATATGGCCAACCCATCTACATGATTGGGCCCCTTTACTTGCTGTCCCCATCTCCCTGGTTCACTCTGCTCAGGCCATACGGTCCTCCTCGTGGTCCCACAAATGCTCCAGGTGCTTTCCCTGCTGGCTTTTTCACCTGGATCATGTGACCCCAGGTATTTGCTTTCTTTCCTTACCTCCTATGTAAGTTCTTGCTCAAGTGTCCTCTTCTCAATGAGCCCTTCCCCGATCAGTATATTTATAATTGCTCTCTCTCCCCTACATCCCATCTGCTATCCAAAAGATTAATTTTACATATTAATTTGTTTGTTATCTGCCTCACACCACCAGAATGTAAGCTCCAGGGCTTACAGTTTTTATCTGATTGTTTTGCTTTTTGGCTGCTACATCCACAGCCCTGGCACATGACAGGCCATCAATAAATATTTGTTCAATAAATAAATGAATTGCAGGCCAACACCTTTTAGATTCACATGTTAAATTTGTTTTCATATGTCAAGTTTAATAACATTATAGTCTCCCTCTAGGCACCATCCGGTTTAGTTAAAGGGGGATAGCTCTGACCCATTTTATTTGTTTTATGGTTCTTATCTAAGGAGGGTCAATTTCTCTATTTCAGTGGTTTTTAGCAAGGAAGGGCTGCCAGTATTTATTCACATGCCAACTACTCTGTTTAGAATTTGGCTTTTCTTTGTGGAATGGCTGGTAATTCCTCTGGCTTGTGAAAGAAGAGCTCAGAGATATGCCACTTGTTAGTCCCGTTTAAAAGCTACAAACATCTATTAATTGTGGGTATCATTAAGCCTCAACATTCTGTTAACAAAAATTTATTCTTTCCTTTTCTCTTGTCACTTATATGTTTTAGGCGCAGCTCGTGTATACTACCAATATCGGGGAGCTCAATGTCTACAGGTATTTATTTTTCTATTAAATGCTTTTGAAAATTAAAGTTAGTAGATAATTGCTATCACTCTTTGTTTGGGTGATAAATTGCTTTGCAAGTGTTTATTATTAGAACTCCTATATCATCCTCCTCTTTCCATAGTCTTTGAACATAGGTACAACTCTGTGAAGCTGACTTGACAACTTCTCAAGTTGTCTGGCATCTGGAGGGGTTGTCTAGGCTGGTGGGCCATGTTATGTCCGTTACCACCTAAAAAAGTGTAAATACTCCCAGAATCAACACAGGTGTTTTGTCCAAGCTAGTCCAGATGTTAATGCTCCAGTTTCCTGAAAAAGAAAACACACCTGAAGAAACTTCAGCAAGATTCTAGCAATGTCAGAGCTAGGATGAGGGTTAAACTAAGCTAGTGAGTCTCATAGCCAACTGATGAGTATTTACTTTTTCTTTCAATATTGGCTCAAGATTTATGTAGTGTGTGGAGGGATTTCCTTTTATGAGAAATTACATATTGAAACAGATACACTGACTAAGTCATTTCTCCTGGCTAAAGCAGAATTGGCAATCTGAAAAAATAAAAAGACCAATTTTGTTATTCTCTCCTTGGTTATAGCTTGTAATTTTTAACATCAGACAACTTTTTGGAAAACAGATTAAAGGGCATAAAATATAGATAGTAAAGATTCATGCTTGGGAAAGAGTACTAGACCACACCTTACTTGGTTTCAGGATTGCAGTCAATAGTGCACACACGCAAGCAAAGAATAAGGGAAGAACTATGCTACAAGAAGTTTTCTTAAAACTTCCCTCTTAAGGATACTTTTCACTTTGGTGAAAGTGAGGCCAATTTATTAATACATGTTGCCAGTTTATTCTAGTTCCAAGGATGTTGCCAGGTGAGAATTCCTCCTAATGTTTTCCCAGTCCCTGAAACCCCAATGAAAAAATAAAAACAAAGCCAAACAACAACAAAACAGTGGCTGGCACACAATAAGTTCTCAGTAAATATTTGGTTTCTTAAATCTAGGAAACCAAGATTCCAATAGAAATGCAAGTGAATGCATGAACATATAACATGAAACCTAGCCCAACCAACAAACAGCCTGTATATCCGGCACTGTGATTAATTGATGACACACCAATACTAACTTACTGACACCCTCTTTGTAGTATGGGCCTCTCTGGCTTATTTCCCATCATTTCCTCCTTTTTCTCTTGCTCTGTGTTCTAGGGGAGCTGATCCTTGTGTTTTCCAGGCTCCAGGATCAGTCAGTCCTCACTGTCTTCAGTCAATGGGTTGGGGGGCACTGTGGAGAGACTGCAGAGTAAAAAGCTGTGAAATCCAGGGCATTTCCCCCCAAGGCGCTCTGTTTCCACAGAATCTCTTGTCAGCAGCTTTATCTTCTTTATGGCTTCAGCTGGAGCACAACAGGTCTGCTGTGGTTTCAGCTTCTGCCTGTTGACTTGGGTCCCTAACTCTGGTAACTTTTCCTGTTTTCTTAGTCCCTTTGGTTTAGGGGTAGTAGTGACTTCTGGGTTATTCAGTGTCTTCTGTTTTTCTTCTTAGTTCTCCTTCACCTGTGTAATCAGATTTCTGGACTAAATTCTTTCTGTGTACTCATGTAGTTTATGTTTTCCTGACTGGACTTTGATGTACTCCCCATTACTGAATGCCTCTGAGGGAGAGCGACATAAAATCCAGGTAACCTAGTAAATATGCAATAGATGAATGCACATCTCTGAGACTGGTATAACTCTGAGCTGGGAAGGCTAGCATGTAAATAGAATATTAGACATAAAAATTAGATTCCTGCATTCTGTTTCTGCCGTTTACTCTGGCTTGCTTTAATGAACTAAACATTGCTTTTAACCTACCTTGAAAGTATTTTCAATACTAGCTGTGAATATAACATTAGAATAACATTTCTAGTGTAGTTATATATCAATAGCAACATGAGCAATAATTTATTAATTTATCTTTTACAAGAACAAAAATAATTCTGGTAATAACAGAGAAGGAAAAGTCATAAAAATATAACAGAGAAATAAGTAAGGAAAAAACAACAGCACGATGAAGCTCCTTACTTAAGTCCGGATTCTTTTAGATGCATCTTTCGTGATTTGTATCACTGAAATCTCTGAGCACTGAAGTAAGTTGCTGCTGATGATATAGCCAGGCATCTTTACTATCTTCAAAAGGTCAGGGAACAAATCAAAGGCTCTTCTCTTTTCAGGAACATTTCTTGAAATGAGCACTTTAATTAGTAATCATTAACTCTTCAAGGTCTGTCATTTCTTATCTAGAAGTTTATATTGTTGACTTAATAACTATACGAGTATTATAACAATGATCTATTTTCCTTTCTACACTGCACTAGGACTTTATTTAAAAACCAGTGGGAATTTTTTGAATAAGCACAAATTTGCCCCAACTGTAAGATGGGAAGGTTTTTAAGGAATATACAAGCCCTGATAACAAACTGAACTTATTCTATATTTGGACGTAGAACAGCAAAATGTGTTCACAGTCCTGCTGCCTTTTGTATTCCCAAGGCATTTGTCTGTGGTGGCAGTTACTAAGGGATTATGACTGATGGAGCTGTAAGAAAAAGCTCCACTGTGCCTTCTTCTTGGAAACGTCCAAGATGGATTGAATCAATTACTTGCATATTCGACCATTTTTGCTCTCAGATTAAAACAAAAAATCTTGCATCTAGTAGAGAGCCTGTTGTTAAATGATCAAAAATAAGTCAACGTGAGACATGTCGTATCCAATAGGCAGTGTTCTTAAGAGAGAAAAGTTTCCACTTTTCGTTTATCTTTTTCCTGGCTGGCAAATACATAAAGATAAGTAGTAAGTGTATGTTTTCATTTTTGAAAATATATTTAGTGAAATACAGAATATTTACTTTTATTTATGGCTTTGTATCTTTGTGCAGATGAGAGAAAGAAAGAGAGAGAGATAAAAATGTTTGAGTGGTCGTGAGGCAGAGTTTTGGTTTGGTGGGTTGTTAGCTAAGCTCTCTTAATTAATGTTGATTACAAACATGATTTCATAGTCAGTTACCTTTTCGTACCTTTTGACCCAGTGATTTCACTTTTAAAAATTTACTCTATGTAAATGATCAAACATTGGTGCAAATATTTGTTTAGCAGTATTGATTATAATAGGAAAGATTAGAAAACAATCTAGGTGGCCAGCAATAAATTATTGGTTTAACAAATTATATAGTATATTATATATTTGAAAACCATATAGCCTTTAAACATTATTTTGGCAGATAATTCAGTAAAGACAGCACAAACTTAGTAGTTTGCAGGCCTAAACTCTTTGTTACTTGCCAACTGTATTATGTACAAAAAAGTTTTGCACTTCTCTAAGCCCTAGTTTTTTCATTTGGAGGTGACAATACCTACCTCTTAAGGTTGTTATTATAAAAGATTTAAAGAGGACATGTATAAAGCTCTGTATGGAGGGTCAGGCATAGTGTAGACAGACATTCAATAAATGCTGTCTATTATAGTTGCAGAAGACAGAAAGCTGTATGCTTAAGAGTAGGAAAAAAGTATAATTTTAGTTTTCCAAAATTACACACAATCATAGTTAAGCATAGTGCTATCAGCCAAAATGTCCAGAATAATTGCCTCCTGAAAAGGAGATTATGTGTGTTTTAAATTTTTTCTTTATATTTCTCTGTAGTTTTTTTTTTTTTTTTTTTTTTTTGAGACGGAGTTTTGCTCTTGTTACCCAGGCTGGAGTGCAATGGTGCGGTCTCGGCTCACCACAACCTCCACCTCCTGGGTTCAGGCAATTCTCCTGCCTCAGCCTCCTGAGTAGCTGGGATTACAGGCATGCGCCACCAGGCCCAGCTATTTTTTTTTGTATTTTTAGTAGAGAAGGGGTTTCACCATGTTGACCAGGATGGTCTCGATCTCTTGACCTCGTGATCTACCCGCCTCGGCTTCCCAAAGTGCTGGGATTACAGGCTCTCTGTAGTTTTTAAATTTTCTACACTTAACATGTATTAAGTTTATACTTTAAAACAATTTTAAATAGAAACCTCTACATTGTGACCCTGTGTAATTTATTGAAGGTTGTTTATAGAACCGTTATATGTTAGTGTGTGTGTGTATAATAACTGAGATATATAGGTGAATTGCAATACTGATGTCTCATCTGCCACCTCCACCAACTTATCTCTTGGCCATGCGTGTGAGCTATTTTCCTAGTATAGATGACCTATGTTTTGTTTTGTTTTAAAAACATAACTTAAGATACAAAATTATTTCATAAACTCATGTGCATAAAAAGTGAAAGAATTTGGAAATATATACATAGGGTGAAAAGAAAGACCACCCCACTTAGAGTCTTTCCTCTCACCAAGTCACTACCAGTTCCACAGGTAACTGCTGTTAGGTTGTTCTCCTTATAGACTTAAGTGTGTGCATGTTTACACTTATGTACCTGTGCTTATAAATTTATATAAATGGGAGTATGTATTTTTTCTTTCTTTTTCTCAAATTTTGAGAGGGGATCTCTCTCTGTTTCCCAGGATGGAGTACAGTGGTGTTATCTCTGCTCACTGCAGCCTTGACCTCCTGGGCTCAAGCTCTCTTCTCATCTCAGCCACCCAAGTAGCTGGGACCATAGGCAGGTGCTACCACACCCAGCTAAATTTTAAGTTTTTCATAGAGCTGAGGTCTCCCTATGTTGCTCAGGCTGGTCTTGGACTCCTGGGCTCAAGCAGTCCTCCTGCCTCAGCCTCCTGACATGCTAGGAATATAGGCATGAGTGACTGCACTGGGCTGGAAGTATAGTTTTTATATTTTATGGGCTTTTCATTTTTACGTTAACAATAAATGTTGGAAGTCTTTATTTGTTCACATAAATCTATGTCTGCTTAGCAGTTGCATGTTATTCTAAAGAATGGATGAACCATAATTTATTTTACTTTAGCTCCATTAGTTTATTTCCAATTTGCTCATAGAAACTGTACCCTAATAAACGTCC